TTACTTTAAAAATGTGTCCACAAATATCATGTAACTTCAATAGCTGCACATTTGTCAAATTAATCCTATTACGTTAAATGTATCACAGCAGCTTGTTTTAATTTAATCTAACTTAACCAGTTATATTATATGCTCCTCATTAAAATGTGTAAAACTGTACGTCGCACATTTAATGCGATTAATATACTACGTAATAAAATGTAATACACTAATGAAATAATTAAATATTATTTTTGAAAGCATGATACAATCCAGGCAGCATACGCTTGTATTTACATTCGATATCCATAGACACTGAGAGATTAGGTTAGGTTAGGTTAGGTTAGATCAAACAAATTTATCGTTTAATAGTTGGCAGCCCTACGAGATAGGCTGTGCAGCATTGCGCGCGCGTACAAAATAAATTTGAAAGCGCTTCTAGCATAACCATCTTCACGCGATCGACTTTATTTGAATTGCACCGAATCGAATTATGATGACGATTTGTCCGAATGTAATTCGGGACATCGCGATGCTGTATAAGCGTCGAATGAGCACGAATTATCTCGCAAATATGATAAATCAAATCTACTCACCGGCTGTTCCACAGGCCGCTCCTCCTCGAAACAGTTCGCTCGCCTCGGGATGTCCCATTCCGATCTTGATGCACACAAATCCACACGATATCATCAACGCGAACGCGCGACACTTTATTCGGCACTCCCGATACTCGCTCGCATCCGATAATCATCATCAAGGGCCCGAATAACGCGACGCAATTTCGCTCCATCTTCGCAATGACGCCATCACTGAATATCGTCAAAAATCGCTGTTGCGCGTTTCCATCGACACACTATCAAAGTCGCGCGATCATCCTTGGACACTCTCGACGCTCGTTCACTCGCGATATTCGTTTAGAAACGGTTAAAAGATGCGAAAAATGCGGACGTACGACGATCCGTGTAACTGCGTATGACTCCGATTCACGCGCCAACATGGCGGCCGTATGACGCGTATGACGTAGCTGTGACGTCGCAGCACGCGCCAACATGGCGGCCGAACCACTGTGCATTCGTTTCTGCGCATGGCCATTCCTGTGCTCAACGTTCGCGCAACTTTGATTTCTGAAAGCACATAATGATAAATATATAAAGATAGAATCAATTAATCATATTGGTCATATATGTAGACTTGTCCGAAGAAACAGAGAAAAAATTGAGAGATATTTTTAATTTCTTTTTCTTTTAGTAAAGGATGGAAATGTCTATTCATAGGCTTGTTCTTTTTTTCCTCTTTCGCGCAATTCCGATTTAATATATAACGTAGAAAATTTATAGTATATTATGCTAATGATATGAATTACGAATGATTCGATTGTTTTATCGCGCTTTTTCAAAGTCAAATCTTATAATATTTAGTTTTGCATTTTAAAAGACTGAGAGCGAACTAAATAAATAAATAAATAAATAAGTGATGTTGAGATAAAGAAAAAGAAGACTCATAAATAAATAAATATATAAATATATAATAAAGATTGATATTAATATATACATATATATCGTACGAACTTGTACGATCTCAAAATCTTTATCTTTTATTCCGTTACTCGAATACTTGTATGTTAACAGATTTAGGTTACACACATTGCATAAAGCTTCGATATTTTGCAATCTTACCTCATCTCAATTTGGAGAAGCACGTGCATTCCTTTCGATAAATGTCCGCACAAAAATACGTCGCGCTTCAAATAAATAAAAGTCTCTCGATACTGTGCACGATTCTAATCGTACGAAATATATTCGACGATCTTTTTTGGATCACTGTGTTATCGGAACGTACGATCAGGACGATTCGAAAACGATGCATGTACAGAGTTTGAAGATATCCAATGCACGACAAATTATACTTGCGTTGATTAATATTCATCAAAACTGAACTATTAATCGCGAATACGTACAACACTTTCACACATTTTTTTCGCAAAGAACGATATAAAATGCAATATTTCGCGCCTCGCGTTTCACTCATGCGACCATCTTTCTTTGCTGTTTACTATCGCCATCTGCATTCGCGTTAAATGCCAGAATTACGTAGTCAAGTTTCTTTTTGACTGCCGGTAAAGTCATCATTTTGTGCATGTCGGTAAATTGTTAGAATCACGTCGCGCGCGCATGATTTTTGTAGCATAACAAAATATGTAATTAAAAATTCATGTAAAAAACGTATTTTTAATCAAATTATATATACTATCGAGAAAATAAAAAAATAATAAGCAATGTATCTATTTTGAAAATAATATATATAAATAATAAATAATTTTTAAAAATTACTCACCGCATATCTCTTTGGCTGCCTCAAGCTCTCTTACTGCTCTCTGGCTGTCCGATACTTTTCCAAATGTTCTCCTTTTTTCTTCATCCTTTGCTGTTTCCTCATAGCACTCATATTCACTCGCGAACAAGCAATTAATTATATTTAGTCATATATAAAACGATCGCGAGACACTTTGCACGAAACTCCCGATCGCAAAATAATCGATAAATACAAGATACGTATTTTATTATACGTATTATAAGAGAGGAACATAAAAACTATTGCAATTCGCTCGACTTTTAAAACGAAGTCAAAATCATGCGCCACGCGATTCTTACATTATTGCTATTTTTATTGGTCGATGTATAATGTATGCACAATAACGCGAATCATTAAATTGAAATATTAAACTAATGTAAAGTAATGATACAGCAATAGTTTAATTAATCTAATCTATATGCTTGCAATTTAGAAAAGTTTAAAACATCGGGCGAAATCGAATTTGATTCTACGTAATGTTAGAGAAATAATTATTATCCATAAAGTTCGAGAATCGGAGAATATTGTAACAAAATTTGTAATTTTTGCCTCTTTTGCTTCAATTTTTATTTGCAATAATAAAGAACCGCGTGTCGATGAATTTATCGTCGTCACAGTTTCATGTCATTTATTAATTGTTAATTAATTGTTAATTGTAATAGTCGTAACAAATTATATTTCGATATATTATTAATCGCATTTAGAAAAAGAATTTAATTTAATAGTACGAAACGCGTTCCGTATCGCTACCTCATCGTTGGAATGTCGCCGCGTGAATGACATGGGTCGTCGCCCACGTAAACTACGTCACGCATACGTCATCAAGGTCGAACGTCGTGTTATTGATAATTCGCTGCCGAAATATTTTACGCGTACTATGACGTATATATACGAGAATTAAATTTGTATACAAGTACATTTTTAAAATTACACACAGATTAATTATTTATTAAACGATTAATATACCTATTACAATTTTCATACAGCTCGAGCCGCATTCTTTCATTTCATAAGTTTCAATCATTAATCACAGAGTTTTTAATTATTAGAAATGTTAATTAATAGAAAATCTTTAATATAATAGATCTCGGTTTCGAAAAGATGCGTTAAAAATGTGACGATGCCTTCAACCTGCTTTCAACCAAGTGAATATTAAATCATGAAAAAATTAATTAACAATGTACAAAAATATATGTATATGTATATGTATATGAGTAGTTCAGATATCATTATATAGTGATAACTATTTATATAATTTAAGTCACATTACAATAATTAGTTTTGAAAGCACTTGAAGAAATATTATTTAAATTTCATTATTATGATATCTATTATATACAGGGTAAAGTTAACATAGTGAGAAATAAATCGGGATATTGCTATTTCCCACTAAGTACTTTCTGATCTGTAGTGTGTACAATAAAATTTAGAATTTATAATATACATATTTTAAAATCATACATAAATAATTTTTTAACTTTTTTTCTATGAGGATATTGTGATATTGTACATATTGTAGATGTTATAAGACTAAAAGTGCAATATTAATATTGTATTATGAACAAAATAACAAAATAAAATATAATATATTATACAAAATATTAAACAAAATAAAATATATTAGAATATAGAAGAATATATGTAGAATTCTCTTTTTATATATGTGGCAATAAATTTTTGTGAACACAGCTTAATCTTAACTGGTTAAACTTTTTTATTGATAAATTAACTTGAATTTCCACAACAGTGATTTCCAATTTTGATTCGATGATTTAGCGCTCGTCATGTAAAATGTATTACACAATTTTATAATTAAAGATAATTAAAAATTGACAAATAAGGCGCTGTCAGTCAATAAGGCTGGTGAGCGGTGCTCCTATTTAATTTAATATATAGTATTCTTTAAAATATTAATTTAAAATATTTGTGATTTTCGCGCAATAATTATTTTCATCTTTATTTTTACTTAAAATTTATAACTTGTGGATTTATGATTATTAGAATACTGTAGTATGAAAATTAGAATTATTTGGGAAAATGTTCTGGCCAGATTATTGCGAGATACTGTATCGTTGCATCGATTATGAAAATGGTTTATATAATCTCATATGTTATCTAACAATTTTATAATGCATAATGTCATACATATCCACAAAACATTGTCAGTATTTGGTGATCTTTCGAAATAATAGACCGTAATTGTGTATAAATATTATATATTATTAGCTTTATTAAATATAGTTAATGGAGATAAAGCAATAAGTATAATTCATTTTTACAACTGCATACTTGAGTAATCATCAATATAATTTGAATATACAGTAAGTCATTAAATATAAAGATAAAATATATGTATATACTTATCCCGAATAATGTAAAAATTCATACATGATAACTGTTATAAATTTAAAAATAATTATATTATTATATTATTATATTATATATTATATATTATATTATATTATATTATATTATTTAATTATATTATTATATTATATTATTATATTTATATATTCACAACTAATTATAAAATATTTTATTCGCGTTTTCTCTTTCACTTATAAATTTTACAATCAGTTTGTGTAATTATCGATCATATATAATGTCGAAAATTAATTATATTTTAATATTGAAATAAATATTGTTTATCGCAATATTAAATATCGCAATATTAAATATCGATTTATTGAATCGTTCGGAAAAGAAGAGAAACATTAATTTAATTATATTGGCTAAATAGCATCGACTGGACTCAGTAAGGCATCTTTTATGTTCTTTCTTAATGCTATAATATTTTTCAGACAAAATTCGAAATTTGGTCTAGCATCCGCTGCACTCCAGCAACGTAGCATCAACTGGTACAATGCTGATGGACAGTTAAGAGTAATCGGCAACCTGCCTCCAACACGTACATAATTTATCACTTCTTCATTAGCCTTGCCAATATAAGGTTGCTCACCCAACGATGTAATTTCCCACATTAAAACACCAAATGACCAAACATCGCTTTGAGAAGTAAATATGTTGATCATCAAAGATTCAGGTGCCATCCAGCGAACAGGAAGCAAAACTTCTCCTCCCTAAAACATGATTTTAATAAAACTTTAATTTTCTGGTCCAAGTTGTTCATTTTCACAACATGGGCAAAATGAAAAATGTTCATTTAACTCTTGCTATATATAAATAAAAATTATTTATATTACATCAAGAAACAATGCACGATACTATTATGATAAAAAAAGGGAAGTATTTTCAAAACAATTCATTTTTTAATTATTTCTAATAATTGTATTTATACCATGCGATAATAATCATCCTTATAGAGATCTCTAGCTAGTCCAAAATCTCCAATTTTAATGACACGATCCTTGCGATTTCTCGAAGATAATAAACAATTGCGACATGCTAGATCTCTGTGTACGAAACGCAACTCTTCCAAGTAGCAACAACCTCGCGCAACATCTTCGCACATGGCGAGCAAATCCTGCAAACGCAGAGCATGCGAATCTGACGCTTGCAAATTTCGACAATCTTTCAAATATGTTAACAGATCGCCAGTTTCCATCAGTTCCAACACTAGTAACGGAGAATCTCCATCTAAACAAACGGCCAACAATCTTAATATATGTTCATGTCGAAAACGATTCATAAGCAAGGCTTCTTTTAACAATTTCTTTTTCTCATGGAAAGAAGCATCTTTCCGAATCGTTTTTATTGCAACGGATGTCTCTGTCCCCGATTTTTCTAAGTTCTTCACCTTTCCTTGATATACCTACATAAAATATTTCACACAAATGTACATGCGTTCTTCATTAGAAAATGTATAGTGTAAAGTCAAGTAATATTATATTTTACTTTATATTAAATAATTCAACGATAAATATGTAATAAAGTCCATGTTTGTTGTCTCATCTAAATTTTATATTACTTATAATCTATTATAAAAATTTATGTAATTTATATCTTTATTAGAAAATACATATCTGTTTTGTTGATACAAAATTAATTTGAAACATTACTTGAAAAAATTAATTCTTACCATTCCGAATGCGCCGCTACCAATAAGTTTTCCAAATATAATTTGTTTACGTGCGATTTTAGTTATCGCACATTCATTCGGATTATAATGTAACATAGGACTGTAAATCGTATTGAATTGATTATATTGGTAAGATACTTCATGTAGAATTTCCCATTCTATATCGGTCATTGTTGAAGACAAAAATTGTTCATTATTACTTCTGTGTTGACGATACACTGTTATAAAATTTCGACTTATAATAAATGTAATAATATATATTATAAAATTTTTCGTTTTTTAGTAAATTTATTCGTTTACTTTTATATAAGTAAATTATTATTTTCAGTAAATGTTTAAATATTATATCAAATATATACATATATATATATATATATATATATATATATATATATATATAATCTACAATTCAAGTTGATACCTACATCAAATATACTTACAACAATAAAAGAAGCAGAAGAAGGGTATAATAATTATAACGATAAAACTTGACACCAATAATAAATAATATTCTCTTGCCATTATTCCAGGAGTGTCCCAAATATCTATATTAAGCAAAAATGTAATTTTAATATCTTCTTGTGTGTATGCTTCTACAAATTTATTTTTACTTGTAACTTTATTACAAAAATTTAATTGTTTTAAATTTTAGGCCTATTCATATCTAAAAATATTAGTACATAATATTATAATCTATCTATGTAGCACAGAATGTTACATATACTTTGAAACAATATTGCAATATTACAAATTGCAATGCAACATTACGCAAACATTGTAGAAATATAAATTAACAAAGTATGAATTAGATATTAGCAATATGATATTTATATTTTGAAAACATTGGAAAACTATAACACCCTTTAATTTATCTATAAAAATAATGTAATAATATATTTTTTTATATTTGTATATATGCGATGAATTTTACTTTTTTGCAGAAGTCAAACGAATTAATGACACAGAAATAATGTCAGTCGAGTAAATATAATTCTAATTTAATTATAAGATAACATATCTTTTTATTATATTAAGAATAGATACTATTATATCTATTATTATATTTTTCTATGCTTTTTCATGTATTTTCACATGCAAATATATATAATTATAACGAATTTTTAAAATCTTTAAATAAAAATATAATTAGTAATGCTTAATTAATTTCATATTTAATATTTATATGTTAACAAAGTACCCATTAAGAGTATATGAAACATTTAAAATAAAAAAAAGTGATTCATAAGTAAGAGTTTAAAGTAACTTTTGTATAAAAATGTAATGTAATATTTTATGTTATATGATTATGTTTAAATATAATTTTGCAATGTATTATCTTAGATATGATTATCTTAGATATTGCAAACTTTTATTTATATCAAGCTTTTTAATTTAATTATATGTTTCGAAGATATCTATCCATCAAAAACAAAAATATTTTATACGTAATATTATTAAATGGTTGCAATAACATTGCATTCTTTCCAATATGTTACACTGTAATAATGCTAAAATATTTCACTCCAAAATCATCTTAACTTTATCACAATTTTATTTAACAATGACTCATTGTCAGCAGAGTTTCACAATAAATTTGTAATATTGCAATGTTTCAATTAAATTATACTTTAATATATTTGCAACCTTATTGTGCTGTATGGTTATCTTCGTTTGCTTACCAGGCGTTAAAAAAATAAATCTTTTATCAGCCGGCCATGTAAAATTTTCCGCATATTCAAGATAGCTTAATCTCAAGCGAAACACGTATGAAGTTCTCGGTTGTAAATTTCCGATACGGTATATTGCTTCATTGTTATAATTCATTTTAATATATTTTGTTGTTTGCCACTCGTCTGTTGTAACATCTTTGTACTCTAGTGTAGAAAAGATCGTCAGATTGATGTTTGAGATCCATGAAATGTCTATGCAAATTGCATCGATCTCGTTTAAAGAAATATTGTTTGGTTCTGAGTATGTGTGAACGATCTCGCTTAATCTCTCGCTGTAGAAATCGCTGAAATTAAATGGATATGCACGCACGTATATCAAATAATCTTCTACTGGTAGCGATAAGTTAATCTTTGCGAAAAATCTGCCGTCTGCCACACGTTTCGGCACATTGATCATTTGTTTGTCCTTTTGTTGCGTGCCATTCACTGATGTAACTGTCTTCCAATGCACTTCGTAAGTCACGGCCACGCAGTTCACTTTCTTGGGTGGCATCCAATAAACTACTGCCATAGTAGGCGTCAAAGCTAGAACACTTATGTTTTCTGGTGCATTAAGCTTGCCCGAATTAGTTTTTATTGATATCACATTCGAATCGAATGGATTTATTGATAATTGGTCAAAGTAAAAATTGCTTAAAGTAAACTTCAACATGTACTCTGTAAATGGTGTTAAGTTCTGAATCTCGTAATATCGCTCGAACGTCTGCACATTGAATTTCTCAGACTTGTTGAGATTGTTGTCTAAACAGCTTACGAAGATAGTATACATAGTAGTTGGTAAATTATATTTTTTGCATCCACTCTTTGCAACTGACTCCGGAAGATTTACAACGATGCTGTTTCCCGTTGCATTCACATTCTCAAAATTATAAACTTTTTCATCAGGTGTCAGACATCTCATTGGAGGATATGGTTGTAAAGATCTATCAGAAACATAAATTTTCTCAATGTCTTCACTTAAACCTATTTCTATGTTTACAATACATTTGTATGAATTTGAGACGCTCTTGAGATTTGCAAATTTCTTTTCAAAAACGTAGACGATACGTTGATTCAAATTATTAAATGCTCCAATGTAAATATTTGTTTTGTCAATCGTTATAGATCTGAAGGTTGTGTTATATGCGTTTGGATTATGTAAAATCGTATTGGACATAGAAACGTTAATGTCTGTCACAAATATGCGATCTTTACACAACCAGTAAATTAACGGTTCCTCATTATTCGTGTTATCAATTGCATAACTATAAGTAAGATTTTGGGAACTTAGGCAAAAGGATGAATTTATCTGAACAATTTGTTCACTTCTTCCATCGAGATAATATTTCGTCATATTATATTCTTCATTTATCCAATTGTATGACATGCCATATAAAATTCTAAAAAATATATAATTATTTTACATTATAAAACGTTATTCTAAAAATAGAAAATTATATGTAATGAAAATTTGAAATTCTTATAATTATATAATAACTTGTTATTTTTTTTTCCCTTATGATCTTAATTATAAAACAACGTAAAATTATAGAAAAATTAGAACTTAACATATAAATCTTTAATGAAAAATTATTTTTTTAGGTGAACGGTAATAAACGTACCCCATAAACGGTGATACACTTAAATAATAATGAGAATTTGATATTTTGTAAATTTCATCAAATTTAATTATGTCATTTTCCCACATTGTTATGTCGAACTTTAAAATATAAGAGTCAGAAGATGAATAGCTCAAATATAGATTTCTTGCTACCCAGTCGATGCAGAGATCATTTATATGAAAAGACAATGTAGCTATTTTCGTGATGTTATTTTCATTAATCTTGAATGTCATTAGATCATCTTCGTTAGTCCAATAAATTCTATTGTCTTGTATACAATAAGCGATATATACTACTGATCTGCAAAAAGAAGTCAACTATAATTTTGTAGTAAAAAATTACAGTTGAGATTTCTAATTTTATAATTATTACTACTATAATGTTAATAATAATAAACTTGCATAATAATAATAACTTTAATTTTATAGTTAGTGCAAAAAATAATTTATGATAATAATTATAACTATTTTTTTATTAGTATACGTACTTTCTATCAGTAAACGACACGAAATTAGTTCTGTTTAAATCCACGTCCCATATTAGGACACTCCGATACGTTTTGAGTAATAATTTAGGTACTGGATTTTCATATGTAGTCGACACACTAATTAAATCCGTGTAAGGACCAGCAACTATTTTAGTATGCGCACGTACTCGAAAATAATATGTCGCGTTAAATGTTAGATTGTGAACCGTGTGCTCCAATTCTGTAGTTGTAATATTTTTATCGTCGCAGATTTGAATCTCTTTTAAATTCTCGATGAAAAAACACTGCAATGTATATCCTTGTATTATTTCATTCGTAAATTCAGGTTGGTCCCATCTGTAAAAAAATAAAATTTTAATCTTTTTAAAATTAACAAAATTATAACAGGATTAACATTTTTATATATTTATGTCGTTGAATTTAAGAAAAGAGAGAAAAATGAAAGAATACAAACTGGGAATTTAGATTCTTTACCTCAATGTCACAAAAATGTCGTTTATTTTTTCTGTGAATGGACTGTCGAATTGTACAAATGCTCTGAGAGATGTTGGCTTGTTCAAACCGCTTTCTAGAGATTTTAAGATCGTACATATTAACATAATTATATATAAGATTAAGTGGATTATTTCAGTATATCAGAAAGAATAATTTAATGTGAAAATAAAGGAAAGAGAAAAAATAAATGTAAACTACAAAATATGGAAATTAGCACAGTATTGACCTTTGAAAAAAATAATATAAGAATTTTTTGCGTCATTTAAGATTTAGAAAAGTAATCGTTAATCCATGGCAAAAACGAATAAATAACTTTTAATAAGATGACAAGTATTTTTCGATAAATTCTTATAGCTTAAGAAATCAGAAGTATAATATTTGCGACTGCTTCAAAACAAAGTAGCAAATTAATAAAATTCACTTTATCTTAAATCATGAAATTTTTTATGTTCAATGTTATGTTTATATTATGCTTTATTTCTTTTTTGGATGGAATAGAATTTATATATTTCTTACTACTAAAAGATATTTTTAAATTTAATTTCCACTCTCTCTTGAATTTAAATTATATTTACACTTTTTCGTCATAGTTTTTTATTAATGTTTTATGCATTTCTTTGCAACTTACTGATTGTTTCTGGGATGACAGAAATATTTGCGAGTGTAACTTCATCGTCTTTTCGCTTTCTCACAGTACTATCAGAATGACTCCGGTCAGATTTGAAATTTAGTATATAATGATCACTTTTCTCGGACATTGAAATATCCTTCACAAAATATAACATACGAAAAGAATTAATTAATTGAATATCGCTGAAGCGATTGTTTCTGGTCCTTTTAATGATAAATTATATGAATTATAAAATTAAATGAAAAATTGCCATTCTTTTTTCGTTTGCTTAATAATACCGTTTAATATATATAATTTCTATTCTATTTCTATCTAATTAATATATATTAAATGTTATGTAGTTTTATTTATATATTGTAAAATCTATTTTTGTTTCCTCTTTTTAAGACATCTTGTATATCAAACATAACTCGTATCAAAGAGAAAATAAACATATCAAAAAGATAATCAATCAATAACTTAACAAAAGTCAATGAGGGTTCATAACAGCTTTTGGCAAGTAGTACAAGCGAAAGTGTGAAGCTTCTTACAATTATTAAACGAATTTTGTCTAACGATTTGATTCTTTCTCATGATGTGTTAGTTAACTCTTCTCCACTTTTATCGTAATTCAAATTTCATTTCAAAAATTTGCCGATATTATTAAAGTTTTATTAATGTTTGTACTGCAAGAGTAAAATGGTTAGAAATATTGTTTCTTTACAATTATTAAATATTAATCATAGAATTGTGTAAATTCTTTTATTTATAACCTTGTCAAGATTTTTCTCGAATGTCATTATATTTTTAAACACATCCTGGAAATGATAGGAATGAGTCACGATATCGGTATAAACCGATAGTTTAAACCGATAATGCCTCGATAAGAATATGTACATATAATTGTATATAAATTGATATATGTATAATGAAAATTAATATAAATTCTAGCGATTGTTATTGAATGTATTGCCGATCGAAATATTAACGTTAATAGATACAATTTGAAGAATGTTTGGTAAATGATTTTTTTATTAGACAGATTTTCAATCCATATTTAGTAGCTCTGTTCCATTATATAATTATTCTTAACACAAAGAAGTGATGCTAACTTTCTAAATTAATTTCTTAAAATAAAATCTACATTAGTATAAATCTTACTATATCTCAATACATATTATAAATATCATAAATATCAAGAAAGATAAAGAAATTTTAGAAATTGAATAAGAATAACATAAAAATCTATTGAAGTATCATCGTATATATATATTAATGTAGCAGATAGTAGACAGATAACTACAATAATTTTAAAAATTGTTATTTTTAAAAATAATAATTGAACACACACACACACACACACACACACAGAAAGAGAGAGAAAGAATAATACAGTCAAATTTTAAAATACTGTTTTCATTAAATTTAATGTAACTATATAACATTTATAAACAAAATTTCGAAACTTTATCTATCTTCTTTTTACAACAACGTACATACTTTTTTTATATTGAATTGTTTTATTTTATCTTATCTTACTATATAGAATATATAATTTACTATCATTCATTTTCAGTTACATTACTAACTGCAATAACATTTAATTGTTTCTTAATTAAGCGAAAAATATCTCTTACCTCTATGAAATACGGACATATGGCAACACTTTCTTCTTGGAAGCTGTTTGAAGTGTTGTAATCTCTCGGCATAAACGTAATAGTTGCTTTTGTCAGTATAAAACTTTTCAATAATACACATATAATTGTTCCAAACATAATTTGCATTTTTGGTAAACTTTTGTACTCAATCGGTTTCCGTTCAACCCTCAATTAATTGTTTTTTTCACTCTACTAATTCTGATGTGTTGATCGAATTGATATTAATTCACATATATACATATATTTTCGATAAAATCTTTAAAACTCAGTTTTAACGAATCGCAAGTTATTATCTTCTAACGTTATTATCTTCTAACGTTATGTTTTTAGATTTCTTTTTATGTTCACGATTACAGTATATATCTTAAGATTAAATTAGAGAATTCCCAGTAAGCAAATAATTTCTATTCCTTTTTTTAGGAGAACAAATGAACAATGCAAAATGCTATACATTCATTGGACTGTATCGCGAATACAGGAATATAATTATTATCAGCTTTCCTTTTTCATTAATATTATAATTTATAATAGAAAAGTAATCAATAAAAAGATAATCCCAATCAAATTACAAACGATTAAAAAAGTTATTAAGAATTATAGATCTTGTAACATTTTCCATAGCCATATTCAAGCACACGCAGCGTATAATCGAATTCACTTCAATATTTTCTATATCTTTTATTAAATATGTAATTATGACAATTCGTTCGTACGATTGTGTTACTACGTACAATTATGTTACTACGTATGCTTTTCAAAATCCATTATTGGTAAATAAAAATCGGTATATAAATCCACTCTTTGTACATAATTTTTTGTGATATTCATATAATGCAGTTTGAATCAAATGATAAGTAACGCAGTAGCGTGTTTTGGCTAGCAATCACAGTTGTAACTGATTAATCAATCTCATCATGCATTGCCATGACTCAGGGACCTTGATGCCGTTTTCCTCTCTCCAAGTACATGCTAGCGGCCTTGCGGCACGAATAGCAGTACGGTTTAGTGATGGTAGCAAAGAAGGCACCGTCGTGTAGAAAAAGAAAAATATAATAATTTATTATATTATTTTATATACTTTATATTATATATATAATTTTATTATATTATTTTATATATTGTGTATAATATTAAATGAACATATATTCTATATTCTATTAATATAAATTATTTTTTCTAGGCTACGGTGCCCTCTTTGCTACCATCCTTAAACCGACATAGATGGTATTGTTTTTCGCGGTGTTCTGCTAGCATGCACTTGGAGTAGGAAAAACGACAACGATCAAAGATCTGATCTCTGACCATAACGTCTTATTAACTGCATTCCATTGTAATTTATTTTTCTCTACGGAAATCTACTTGATGTTATACAGAAATCTACTTGATGTTATACAGAAAAGAATTAAAGTCTTTAAAAATTGTTTGACAAAAATGTTATATATATATAAAACAAAAATAGTTCTATTAATAAAAATAATTATATGTATATATAATTGTTTAATTTGGATTTTATATTTTTAAACTTATATTATTAAACTTTTTATATTAATTTATTTCTGAGTACCTTCTCTTTGGCCTAAGGGCACGTTTACTACATAATGAGATATTCTGATTATAAGAAAAGTAAAAATAAATTTAAAAAAATGGTTTATGATATATATGGTTTATGGTATATTTTCTGTACATTTACATAATACAGTTTGAATCAAGCGATACGTAACGCCGTTTTTGAACTAGTATAAATAAGTATAAATTTATAGTAGCACATACACAATTAAAATAAATAATATAATTAATTGTACGAGATATCATTATCATTATTTGCATTGAATAACCTATAATATATATTTCCTAACATAAATTTTAAAATCAGTTTGTAATTATCGGTCATATATAATGTCGAAAGTTAATAATATTTTCATATTGAGAAAAAAATTGTTTATACATATATATACATATAATCGCAATCATTAGGTTTCGCTTCGACTACTCAAAAACACAAATTAAATATGTCATTATATTACGTAGTTTACAATTATGAAAACGGATGTGATATTTTTTAATAATCAAAATTTTATGGAAAATAAGATTTAAAAATTTCTTTCATCCTCATTGATAAATCTAATATTAAGATTAAACATGAAAATAATACAATCAATTTAGAAATAATCTAGAAATATTTTTTCTACATTATGATTTATTGAATCATTCGGAAAAGAAGAGAAACATTAATTATATTGGCTAAATAGCATCGACTGGACTCAGTAAGGCATCTTCTATGCTCTTTCTTAATGCTATAATATTTTTCAGACAAAATTCGAAATTTGGTCTAGCATCCGCTGCACTCCAGCAACGTAGCATCAACTGATACAATGTTGACGGACAGTTAAGCGTCATCGGCAACCTGCCTCCAGCACGTACATAATTTACCACTTCTTCATTAGCCTTGCCAATATAAGGTTGCTCACCCAACGATGTAATTTCCCACATTAAAACACCAAATGACCAAACATCGCTTTGAGAAGTAAATATGTTGATCATCAAAGATTCAGGTGCCATCCAGCGAACAGGAAGCAAATTTTCTCCTTCCTAAAACATGATTTTAATAAAAATTTAATTTTCTGGTTCAAGTTGTTCATTTTCACAATATGTGCAAAATGAAAAACGTTCATTTAACTCTTGTTATATATAAATAAAAATTATTTATATTACATCAAGAAACAACACACGATACTATTATGATAAAAAATGGGAAGTATTTTCAAAACAATTCATTTTTTAATTATTTCTAATAATTGTATTTATACCACGCGATAATAATCATCCTTGTAGATATCTCTAGCTAGTCCAAAATCTCCAATTTTGATGATACGATCCTCGCGATTTCTTGAAGATACTAAACAATTACGACACGCTAGATCTCTATGCACGAAACGCAACTCTTCCAAGTAGCAACAACCTCGCGCAACATCTTCGCACATGGCGAGCAAATCCTGTAAACGCACAGTATGCGAATCCGACGCATCCAATTTTCGACAATCTCTCAAATATTTTAACAGATCACCAGTTTCCATTAATTCCAACACTAGAAACGGAGAAATCCCATCTAAACAAACGCCCAACAATCTTAATATATGTTTGTGTCGAAAACGATTCATAATCTCGGCTTCCTTTAACAATTTCTTTTTCTCATGGGAAGAAGCATTTTTCCGAAGCGTTTTTATTGCAACGGATATCTCTGTGTCCGATCCTTCTAGGTTCTTCACCTTTCCTTGAAACACCTGCGAAATATTTCACACAAATTTACATACGTACTTTATTAGAAAATATATAATGTAAATTCAGTAAATTAAGTAATATTATATTTTACTTTATATTGAATAATTCAACGAAAAATATATAATAAAGTGCATGTTTGTTGTCTCATCTATATTTTATATTACTTATAATCTATTGTAAAAATTTATGTAATATATATCTGTATTAGAAAATACATATCTGATTGTTGATCCAGAAATTAATTTGAAAAATTGCTTGAAAAAATTAATTCTTACCATTCCGAATGCGCCGCTACCAATAAGTTTTGTAAATGTAATTTGTTTACGTGCGATTTTAGTTATCGCACATTTATCCGGATTACAATATAACATAGGACTGTAAATCGTATTGAATTGATTATATTGACAAGATACTTTATGTAGAATCTCCATTTCTATATCGATCGTTGAAGACAAAAATTGTTCATTATTACTTCTGCGTTGACGATTCACTGTTATAAAATTTTTCGACTTATAAATGTAATAATATGTATTATAAATGTAATAATTATAAATGTAATAATATGTATTATATCAGATATACATATATGTATAATCTACAATTCAAGTTGATACCTATATCAAATATATACTTACAATAATAAAAGTAGCAGAGGCAGATTATAATAACTATAACCATAAAACCTAACATCAATAATAAGTAATATTTTTTTTCTATTCCAGGAGTGTCCGAAATATCTGTATTAAGCAAAAATATAATTTTAATATCTTCCTATGTGTATATTTTTACAAATTTATTTTTACTTGTAACTTCATTACTAAAACTTAATTGCTTTAAATTTTAGACTTATTCAAATCTATAAATATTATGGCTTATTCATATCTACATAATATTATAATCTATCTATGCAGCACAGAATATTACAACTACTTTGCAACAATATTGCAATATTACAAATTGTAATGCAAGATTACGCATACATTGTAGAAATATAAATTATCAAAGTATGAATTAAATATTAGCAATATGATATTTATATTTTGAAAACATTGGAAAATTATAACACTTTTTAATTTATCTATAAGAATAATGTAATAATATATTTTTTTATATTTGTATATATGCAATGAATTTTACTTTTTTGCAGAAGTCAAACAAATTAATGACACAGAAATAATATCAGTCGAGTAAATATAATTCTAAGCTAAAGATATACATTGCTATTTTTCTTTTATTAAAATATAGATAACATTTTATGTAAATGTTAAAATATATTTTATATATTTTTACTTTATGTACGAATACGATATTAATATTCAAAGATAATATATCTTTTTATTATATTAAGAATAGATATTATTATATCTATTATTATATTTTTCTATGTATTTTTATATATTTTTTACATGTAAATATATATAATTATAACAGATTTTTAAAATTTTTAAATAAAAATATAATTAGCAATGTTTAATTAAATCTATAACTAATATTTATATGTGTACAAAATATCCACGATATAAAATATTATAAGAGTATACAGAACATTTAAAATAAAAAATGTAATTGATTAGTAAGAGTTTAAAGTAATTTTGTATAAAAATATAATATGTTATGTTATATGACTATGTTTATATATAATTTTGCAATATATTATCTTAGATATGATTATCTTAGATATTGGAAACTTCTATTTGTATCAATCTTTTTAATTTAATTATAAATTTCCAAGATATTTATCCATCGAAAACAAAAATATTTTATACGTAATATTATTAAATGGTTGCAAAACATTGCATTTTTTCCAATGTATTACACTGTAATATTGCTACAATATTTTATTCCAAAAAGCGGACATTTTAATTTTATCACAATCTTACACAATGACTCAACAAAGTTTTGCAATTGATTTGCAATATTGCATTGTTTCAATTAAATTATTCTTCAATATGTATGCAACTTTATTGTGCTGTATGGGTCTTCGTTTGCTTACCAAGTGTTGAAAAACTAAATCTTTCATCAGCCGGCCATGCATATTCTTCATCATATTCAGGATATCTAAATTTCAAGCGAAATATGTATAAAGTTGCCGATTTTAAATCTTCCACATGATATATTACTTCTTTGTCATAATCCATTTTAAAATAATTCATTGTTTGCCACATTTCTACTGCAATATCTTTGTACTCTATCGTAGAAGAGATCGTTAGATTAATGTTTGAG